AAACTATGCTGTCGTCACACAGACTTCAACCATTATTTCCACAATTTGTGTTGTAGTAGACTCATCTGATACCACTTCTGGGAACCATTATAGGGATTTCAGCATTGAGTCATCTTGGACAACGTCTGGATTTGGGGACTTCCCCTCTTTGTCCACACTGATTTACTAAATCTGGATCCAGTTGGATGTTGGGAGTGTCCTTGAATAGCTGTCATCCTGTCATTCTGCATATTTTCAACAGCATTCGAGTCTGGGCCTGTCAAGGGGCTTAAGAGCTCCTGGCTGTTTTGGAACTATTCTAATGTTGATTTAGTTGTATGCTTAAGGTTAAAGACAATTTAACATTTATCTTAATGTTTAAGCTGTTTTAAAGCGGGATTTAATCAAGAATTAGTTTTCATATGGCTCCATTATCTGGTTACTCAATCTTTCCCTCCTGAACAGGCGAACAAGGCAAGGTTTTGTGTCTTCAAACAACAGAACCTTTTGCTTTATACTGTTTCACATAGCCTTTTTACAACTTCACTCCATGTGCTTTTGTTTGGTGGTTTCCAGCCTGTCAAAAGGACCAGATTTATGAGGAGCTGCACTGACTCCTGGAGGCATGATGCCCTGTGAGTGTAAATGTGTCAGAGCTGTTGTTTATCTTCTTCCTGACAATTATCACTGTAGCCCAGTTTGCTCAGAGCTTTTGGACGGGGTTTGGTATTTTCATTTTTTCTTTTCCAAATCACAGAATGTACTGTGCTCTTGTGAACCACCCCAAGACTTTTTTTAATTTATTTTTTTGCATTTCAATCTTTATTTGGTAGCCACAGGGGAGATACAAATGGATTGTGAGTAAGAGGATGCCCAGGCACGTGTACATCGGTGACAAAATACACAGTCATGTTGATGGTTTCAGGCTATTCGATTGATCTACAGGTGGGACTAACCGGCGAATTGTGCCAACAAAAGCAAGGAAGAAGAAGACTGCTAGCAAGCAATGGTGGATGTAAATATAGGTTTCAAATAATTCCAAAATCTGGCTCCTTGGATATTTTATGAGGACGGAAATGCCTTCAGGAAGTCCTTGGAGATCCACACAACGTGCTTTAATGAGAAACACTGAATATAAACAAACTTTTTTTACAAAAACTCCACAGGGTCTGTTTAACTCTTTTTTCCATATACAACCTCTTGTCTATCATTCTGCATGTAACATACTGTAATCATCATAGGATTTAGCATTTTCACTTGGTGTAAATCATCTCATTGCAGCTGCTATGTAATACTTTCAGCAACTCAGCGAGGTATAATTTATTTCATGGATCTTTGTCAGGGAGTGCTGTCATCTAACCTCATGCAAACAAATCAATATTAGTCTGCTGACTGAGACACAGACATGGTTGCTACGCTAATGGAAAACCTTCATCACTGATTCAGATCTGCGCTGCTCCGGATTACAGTTAAAAACCTGCTCTGGAGTTATTGAGAGCTTCCTATAACACTTTTCTCCCAAACTACTGATTGACATGATAATGGGTGAAATTTAGAGCTAACAGCCTTGTGTACAGGTTGTGATATGAGTGTAGCACTTTATTGATCCAGGTATTGACAGGCAACATATGGGCCCAAGGCAGGTTCTGTGGTCCCCATAGGAACATCAAGGAGAGGGGGTTTTGGTGAAGATCAATCAGTCTGTACCTGTCCCCCGGAGGAGATTTACTGAAGAAAAATAGGCCTAATGGAGTTGTATTGATTTCCTTTTCTGAGGGAAACTGTCAATACAAATGAAACACCCTAAATACTCACAAAAATGTAAACAACACATAAATCATCAGGACCGTGCAGTGACTCCATGTAGGAGGATGATCAGCTTTAACACTAACCCATCTATTAAATCTTTGGATTTCTTCTTTTTGATCATTGTTTTATTCTGTACAAAATGGTCCATCAAAGCCTCTTAGAACTGGAGGTGACCTTTGTCAAATCAACAGTCAGTACAAAACCAGAGGATATTAAATTTACAATGCCTTAGGAAAAAAAAGTTATATCATATCAATAGTTTTAGGGGGAACGTGTTATAGGACCCCCTCAAGTTCAATTTAAAGAGCAAATTGCATTTGTGCTTAAACAATTAGCAAAATTGTTAATTAAATTTCTTTTGATCAATTTACAGTTTCGGCATTAATTCCTATCATCCCAATCGGTGTATTTAATGTATGTTAGTTCTATTAAATACATTTGGCGGTGTAACCTTACATAATGTGTTTATTATACTCGGAGGGGAGGCTTTAAATCAATGACATTTTGTAGCTGTATTTTAAAATGTTTAACAAGCAGTAACCACATTTTCCATATGGCATTTCTAACGATGTGTCAATAGTCCTTCCTAGAACAACCCGAGAAGGACCTCATGTTTCACGCAACATCAAACAAATTAAACGTTCTTTCACAGAACAGCTGCAGTGATAACATTCATCACATCGGGTTCAATTGGTTAATGGCACTTTATCTTTTTTTAGCTGTCTGTAAATTGTACAGAATATGTACAGTAGGTTTAAATCAGTCAGAGGTGATGTATAACATCCAGGGCTGCAGAGTGACAAGCCTGGGAACCTGGTGTATTTCAGTTAATGGTGAACAGGACAAACATTCACAGTATTTTTTATTATCTTGAAAGTTAGGTCAACCCACTACACGACCCAAACAGTATCTCCACAAAACAACTTGAATTTCTGAGAAATTCCCACACATCTGATTATCTTTTACCACTTCTCTTAAACTAATGCCGACTGAAACGTGAAAATTAATAATCTTGTTATTCACACCTCTGAAATGTACGTACCAAAGAGCAACTGCATTGATTTGTGTCCAAAAACCACTTAAAAAATGCGAGATCTTGCAACGTGATCTGCAAAGTCGCCAACATTCTTGAGGCAAAGAACGTTGGAAATAATAATGTTCTAATTACAATCATTCATCTCCTGTCTTGCCAAACTTGCTTTAAAAAAAGGATGCATTCATTTAATAGCACCTGCGTTCCCTCTTGCCCACCAACATGCAGTCCCTGCTGATGAGGGCAAACTGCAGACGGAGGCGATTTTTCAGAGCTTGAAAGCATCGTTCTCCAAGGTATATTAAGTTACATTAAAGTGCTCTGAGTAAACTAAGACTAACTGGAAACATCTGCTGGAGCAGGAACACATGGTTTGTGTTGGCACATCGTTGTTTATAATAAACAGCAAGAATAACGACTGAATGCAGCTTATATATTTGCATATGCAAAAGAGCGAACTCGCAAAGATGTGAACTGTGTCAGTGCTGAGTAGAGTCAACTTACTCTTACCTTTACTTATTCATTTTCACAGAATCATACTTTCTTGCCAACATCTGTTATGCTTCGGGCAAACTAACTGGTGTTAATCATGAGGCCACATCAGTCTGGAGACATGTTAAGTCGGCTGAGATGGACTTACTCATGACACCGCTGTGCCAGTCTTTTTCAGTTACAACCACAAAGACTTTCATGCACATGAGCAAACAAGCACATAAACACACGCGTCCGCTGAGATGACACATGAAACACAAATTACTTAATAACAGGGTCTTGAATTATTCAGAATGATGTATGAATGATCAGGCTAGTAACTCTAGATTGTTTGCCAGAGATGTTTAAATTATGAACATGTATAAGTAAATCTAAAATCTGTTTTGCAAAAGTACGCAAATTAATTTAACAACTGATTTATTTTGGAAAATAAAAATGACCCTTTACTGTTTCATTTACAAATTACTTTGCCTTTGAGCTTTTTAATTTTATTTAGAAACTGAAACGTAAATGTACATCTAGAACGCTTTTGCAAATAGAGAAGTTGGGGTTTCGGTTTCCTGAAGCATTACTCACGAAGTGTTGACAAGTGTATATCATCATTACTGTTCATTTCCCCGGAGCTCTCTCTGCCACAACTCTAGGCAAACTGCACTACATGCACGATAGGTTAGTCAAAACCTTCAAGCCTTACTACAAACTATCCAGATGCAGACAATGAGTAGTTAGTGAAGGGCGAGAACAAGAACAATTTTTACTTCTTCCTGTAAACTAATTAATCATCCAGACCAGGCTAGGCTAAATATGTGAAAGCATGGATTCCTTTATAATATAACTGGCATTAATCACATCCTCCAGCTGGTTTTTAACTTCTCAAACTTGACTTTCGCCAGGACCTCTGGCTAATGTTAAGGGGCAAGAGACAGGAGGCTGGTTCAACTCTTGCCAGAGGAGCTTCAAGGCAGGGCAGGGACCAGTCTTCCAGGGTTGTCAGGTTTGGCACAGTCCTTTCAAGCAGGGACAGATATGGAGCTGAGTAGACGAATACACAACACAAACATTCACAGTGACAGCGTGCCTTGTGTGGAGAAGGCTGCACTCTCAGGCACACCTTATACTGGTGGAGCCAGCAGAGCATAGCACAACCGTTAGTGAGACTCCAACAGGGCACACAAACACATACCACAGCAACAAAAACATCAACGGTCACCATGCAAGCTGAGCTTTTATGTACATAATGGTTACAGAAAGAGGGGAAGGAATTATTTTTATTGGTGTGGACTCATTAGAGGTTGGGGAACTCTCTAATACTAAAGTGAACCTCCTCCAGAAGAGTGCGCAGAAACACTTCCAGTCAGGGACACTTGTTAATGGACCACAACCACAAAAAAAACCTTTTTCTGTTCCCTTTTCAGTACAAACCTTTTTGCACCTTGTTTTCCTATGAAGATGGTTGGCTCATGTTTCAACAGCTAAATGAATGACTAAGGATGATGTCAGCTCTTTCCTCCTCTTGCAGTGAAATAAATCCATAAGATACAGACGCACCGTGATTCAGAGGTAAAAGGGGGAAAAATGCAGAGGACCACCACACAAGGTGTTATAGTTACACACACACACACAAACACACACACACACACACACACGAGAGAGAGGGAGACTGAGAGAAGGTCAAATGTGAACTTACAGTGAGCGGCAGGGAGCAGACCACAAAGATGACAGTGATGAGAGCCAGGAGCACCAAGTGGTCCATCTCCTCTTCCCCCTGTCCGAACCAGGCCAGGCTCAGCCTCCTCCTTCTCCCCATGGACCCGACCGAGCCGCGCCGCATTTTCTGGCTCCGGTGCATCTGGCACAGGCTGACAATCACCGAACCGTTGCACACAAACACCGCCAAGATCAGCAGTGCCATGAGAGAGGAGTAGGACAGAGAGAAGGCCCGCACCAAGTTGGCCCGGTCATCCCCTGTCGCATCCATGTCGATGAAGCACCACGTCCCGGGACAGTACTGTCTGAATTTACCATAGCCGCTGTATGGCAGGAGGCAGAAGGCCAAAGAAAAGAAGTAAATAAAAAAAAGAGTGAACTTGGCGAAGCCGCGGCGGATGTGAACAGAGTAAAAGTAAGGATGGCTGATGGCCAGACAGCGGTCCACGGCCATGGCGCAAAGGATGAGCGTGGGCGCCAGGCCGAAGAAGCTCATAGCGAAGCCGAAGAGGTTGCACAGGCCTTCCCCGCCCAGTTTGATCAGGGACATGTTGCGGGCGTAGCAGATGAACACAGACGGGCTGAGGAGGCAGGTGCCCAGCAGGTCGGTGAGGGCCAGCCCGGTCACCAGGATGCAGAAGACCGAGGACCTGGAGCGATGCTCCTTCTGGTGCACCCCGAGGATGAAGAGAGCCAGGAGGTTTCCCACCACACCGGCCAAAAACATGATGATGCTTGTTGCTGGCTTGCCATGTCCATTCACGGTGAGACTGTCATTGCAGGTGGTATTGATGCATGATCCGTTTGACAGCATGCTCTGGTTCATGTTTAACGTGCTGAGAAGAAAATCGCCTGCTCAGTGCGCAATCAGTAAGGAATCAGCAGACAGCAAAGGGAAACCCTGACCTTTTGACACAGTCATTTGGTAACTTAGTAGGCGGGGATGTATGGCAAGATCCATAATGCTGAGTTACACATGACTCGTAACCTTTCCCCCTCTCTCTCTGTGTGTTTTCTTTCTTGCAGACAGTTATGTAATCTTTCTGTGAAACAAGTGACACAAGAACAAATCTTAGTGTTCAGACATTAAACTCCAATCCCCTCACGGAGATATCACGATATTCGTTTTCTTCTCAGCATATCAATGCATGTTTCTACTGCTGCTTACTAATTGTGCTCTTAAACTGTGAAAGTCCCTTCTCAGCACAGTTTTAGTGACTAATAATCACTCACCTTTCACTGGCTCTGCCGGAAAGCAGCAATACTTGACTGCTTAAAAGTTCCTTCTTCTTCTGTCTGATCTTCTTCTCTTTTCTTTTCCTCCACGGATTCACACTCCTGGTTTGTTAATTATTAAATAGGGAATACTGAGCCGATATTGACATGCGGGGTTTAAAACTACCGCTGCCGGTAACGTGTCGAGAGACTGACTGACTGAGCTCCGAGCCTCCTCTGCTTCACTTTCTCTCTCTCTCTCTCTCTCTGCACCTCCCAATCTCTTTCGGAACAATGTCTGGTCCCACCCACTAGGTGCACCGAAAACAAACTGACAGATAATTGTTAAAAGGAAATGTTTAATTTAAAGGTAACAAATGTGGAATAACTTCATTTGTTTCTATTGGTTATCAGACATAATGAATTGTCTGTGGAGTAATTTACGACGATGAAGTTTGCTTTCGATTCGGCATTTAAGGGAAAACTTAAAGCAGTTTGAATTTAAAGTACTGAGCGACAAATCCTCCGTTTTTTTACTCCTCGTTGTAAAAGCTTTAGATAAAGCCTTAAACACACTTAAAAAATTGTGAAACCTTTATTCTATTTCTCAAAATAAATAAAAAGGGGATATTTTACTATTAAACCAAAAAACACGAAACTTGTCAAATCTGGACTACATTACCCCAGAGAGACCAGATAATCCTTAAAACATAATTTCCCATTTGTGAAACCTTTATTTGATTTGTGAAAGTGCAAAAAAAAAAGGTATAGAGATCTAAATTGGGGAGGGAAAAGCTTCCCTTTTAGCATTTTGACAAGTAGAATAAAGATTTCACACATTTGAAAGTGTGTTTCAGACAGAGTTAAGGCTTTATCTAGCTTTTACAACAATAAGAGGAGCCAAAAAACAGAGGATCTGTCGCTCAGTTAAAGTTAAGTTTTCCCTTAAACGCTGAATCAAAAGCCAACTTCAGCCTGAATACATTTCCATTTTCAAAGATATTGTAGACCTATACGTTTGTGTCCAGAAATAGAAGCAGATAGAGCTGCATTATGAGCACACTGGCTATAAATATCTTGACCCACAGATTTAGGTTCAACAATAATTGATTTGAATTGCAGTATGAACTTAAAATAATAACAAAAAACACAGATAGAAATGATTAAGATTCAGGGAAATGACACAAAGAGTTTGGTCAGCATTGGCTTGTTCCCCTTTGTGAGCTCAGAAAAAAATGCAATCCAATTAGTCTTTGTGTAAGTATTTGGTTTGGCATTGCCTCCCCTTGGTTTTTAAAAAGGTGTTTTGAATAGACTTAATCTCAGTTTACATTTCATGCAGCCTTTGGTACAACTCAACTGAGAAAGGGTGAACCGGTGCTTCAGCTGAACATAACTGCAAATAAAAGAAAGTTTTCTCTGCTTGTTTTTGCCTCAGTTACCCTGCTGATTCATTCTTCTTCTTCTTCTCTGGCTCCTTTACTTTGTTGTATTTGTGCAGCCTTTTGTGAAATACCTGTAGGCAGAGGTAACAGTGCGTGTACTCTGGAAGAGGCTGAATGCTTTGATTTCACCCTCAGGGTTAACAACACTCTCCTTAATCTTAATATGCTGTCAAATGTTTGAAGAGTGTCTGACAAAAGTGGAACCAGAGAAAACCTGTTTGGAAAAAATAATAAGTCTTCATACAAACCACACAGTCAGGACCCCCAGATTGATACACATCATGCCGCGGACCCGTATTTGATAAGATCTCGTCTTGGGGATCCCTGTCTGATAAGCATTAGCTATGTGTGTTAGATTGAAGCCTATAAACAGAATAATCATTTTAATACATTCTCTCTCTGGGCTAACTTTTAGCCAATGAAATAATGGAGAAATTAAAATATCCCCTATTTTTCTGAGGACCCCTGTCATCTGTGGGTTCCCAGTTGAGAACCACTGCTCTAGTAAATAGTAAAATATTCATTCAAAATTTGACCCAAGTAAAGGTTCAGTATCAACAATATATAGTACACAAGTTCAAGTACGTATTATTCAGATTGAGCCCTTTATTATAATATAAACTGTACTGATTTTTATAGCAGATGAAATTGTAATTAACAGTTTAATGTTGTAATTTATACTTTATATATTTTTTGTAATTCTTACCTAAAACAATGCATCATATTTTAAAGAACATCACAGCTTTTGAGGGAATCTTTTAGGTAAAAAGTCTGTTTCCCTCTCAGATGTAGTGGAGTAGAAGTTTCCATGAAATGGAAAAACCCAAACGGATGTACTTTGGTATTCTCCATCACCGCAAAGGCAAGAAGGCTCGATGTTTTATGGTGTCATTTTCCAAATCGTTTTTGGGTTTTTTTTCTCCCAAAGGGAGAGTGACCTTATTCATTTGTCCACCCAGTGTCTGACGTCTGAAACACCACTGGTAGATGTGACTAAAGCTTTTTTTAATGGATCTTATTGACCCAGGAAAAATACCTCCGTTATGCTGGCTGTATTTGCTCATTATGCTAAACCCTATCTGGAGGCAGTGATGCAGATGGTAAAACCCAGACATGGTCATAGTACACTAACACAGGTGTTTTCACTTAAAGTTCCTGATCAGACCTCTTCAGATTTTGTATTTCCCTCACACTCTGTCACACTGGTTACAACTTAGACCTTTATAATTATTCTTATTATGTATCACACCTTCATCATTCTTACTGGTAGATGTAGTCTAACTTGTCCCATGATTCTCTGCATTCCCCAACTTCAACCTCAGCGGAGGTCGAACTAATTAAAATAAGCTAAAACGCTTGCGTGCGTGCAGAGGAGAGCAAACTGAATCATCTGCAGGCACAGTTGTTTTGTTCTTCAGTATGGTCAGGAGACAGTCAGGGCTGAAGGATAAATCACAGAACAACACTAGACACAACCAAGAGCTCATGCACTGCTGTGATGATATGTTGGTTGATGCACATAAAATGACACAAACGCACATAATGAACACATCACCATTTCCGCAGATACAGGATGCAATAAGGCTGAAGTTCCTGAGGAGCCATTGCTGCGCTCTTTAATGGTTTATTTCCATGACACCTAAAATAAGCACTAATAAAATCATTGCGACCAAAAAAATAGTCATGAATACAAACTGCTTTATAGTAATTACATTTCATTGCTCACTTTCCCCTCGCAGTAGTTCCACTTGATTGCTTCCTGTTGCTGTTCCGTCTGTAATTGAGGAAACATAATAATAACAGTGTAGTGCAAGTGTTCAACTGTGGATGGAGTAATGGAGATCAGGTTTCTCCTTGTTTTACACTCTGTAAATGAAAGTGTTGATGCACAGTTACTCAGCTGGTTGTGGGGTAGTTTGCTCACTGGCACAGGGCACTGTGATATTGTTAAACAAAGACATGCAAATATTTGTTTTAATCTTCTTCTCACTTTGACTCAGTCTCTCCAGCCTTCACTCCTTCCGTGGCAAACACAGCTCTAATTAACTTGTAACTATCACAAGACACCCTAAGACATGGGTGGCACGCAGGTCGTTTACAGCTGCCCCGCTGATAAAACAAACCAGGCAGGCACCTTTAAATAAACAGCAGGCATAGACGCATTAAAACAAATGCAGATATATTTATAACTGAGACACAGAGATCATAACACTTGGTCAATTTACACGTTCCTATTTGAAACATACACAGTTTGCAATGAGTGCAGGGAAGCATCGATTTACAATAGAAGCTGCTGGTGTTTGGTTGTACGTGTATGTTATTAATTAAAGAGTAGAAAGGTGTGGTGACTCAGGTTTCAGAGAGAGCAAACATGCAGTTCAGGTGAAATCCATACCCAAAAGTTAAGCTAGGTGACTGAATGGTTTTGTAGTTGGATGGATGAATGGACTGACAGTGGTGGATAGATCAATGAATAATGGAGGATAGATCTGAATGGAAGAATGGATAGATAGATGGAGGGATAAACGAAAGGGTGATGGGTGATAATAGATGGATGGATTTATAGAGAATCAAGGGATTGATGATGTATTGATGGATGATAAATAGATGGATGGATGAGTGAATGAATGGATGGATGGATGGAAGGATGAGGGATAGGTTGGTGGAAGGATGGAGGATGATTGCTTCCATAATAAGGCCACTTTAAAGTACATTCAAGAACCGACGGAACAGAAATAGAAATGGTGGAATCAAAACAAAAATGTCATTTGACAATTTGAAAAATTCCAGTATATAACATGCATAAGTATGGGCAGCAACATGATACACAAACTAGTGTGTTGTATGTATGTGTGTGTGTTTTGTCTGGAGCTGTCTCACCATGAAAATGATATGCTTGGTCATCATTTCCTCCTTCAATTGAATCCCAGAGAAAAACATGCTTCTTTCTAGGGCTGCCCAATTAATGAAATTATTACCGAAATCGCAATATGGCCTAGTGTAATATGCAAATGACAAAAGCTTAAATTTTTTGATAAAGATATAATGTTTGATAAATCAGCATTATAATGAAGTACTGCAGTGCTGCAGAGATGACCTGGCCTACAAAACATGTCGATTTGTGATGCAAAAAATGATAATTCCCACACTAATCCTGAATCATACTGCAATCGCAATGTTGTGTAAACTTACCTTTCTATCCACTCACTGTTAAATGAAAGAGATGTCAACCTCTATCTTGTTTTCCGTGAGTACAAGCGCACACATTTTCTTGCTGGTATAAAACATTAGCGAAGAATGTCACAATTTTCAGGAAAAGAATCAGTATCAGTAAAAACATTGTGCATTTATCGTAACTCATAACTCAATGGAAGACGATAGGACTATCAAATAAGTTTGTTTTGACCAGAATTTATGATACTCATGGAGCTCAGGGAATTTTGGTCTTGGCTGTTTTTTTGCCCAACTCTTTTATCCCTAATTGAAAGCAGAATGTTACTAATGACGCAACCCTCAACATGAAATAGAATCTGTAAGACATTTGAAAAAACGCAGCTTTAATTCGGATTTCATTATGAGGTTACATTTGATAAATGTATGCTGTGACATATGTCAACGCTCTGTGTGAGCATCTTATTATTTTTCAAACCTGCAACCCACACTGTACATACTGTTACAGTTCCAACTCCGTGAAGAAATTCACTGAGGGAAAGGACAGCAACATGTATGGGTTAGTGAGAGAAAAGAGATGACAAAAAAGGTTTGTGAATCTGATTAGCATATTTGTTGAGCG